ATTATGTTAAACCCATCCTATTTTAACTAGTATGAAGTCCACCAATCCAAAATTTACGAAGAATTTTTCAGTAAATACATGCAGAGTCCTTCTAACCATACCTTTTTAGGGGAGTAATAAGTGTAAAGGGATTGTCTCTGGATTTATATTCTCCTCAATATGCATTTAAACATGACTATCTTCTTTTATCCATATTTCCTATGGTCTGTAGAAGATAATTAACACTAACTAAATAATTTAGAAGACATGTACCCAGTAAGGAGGGAAAGATAGTTGTTTTAGGTGACAAGAAAAATAACATAAATGTAAAAATATTTTGAGGTTTACCTACAAATCTACCATAATCCCATTCTCCCTGCTCCTCATGGCATTTAGCAAGTAGATTCTCAAATTTATATGGAGAAACAGGTGTACAAGAATAGCTAAACAGTTTTGAAACAGATGAAAGAGTTGGACTTATCTAATAGATAAAGTGATACTTTTATATAATACTGTAGTAATTAAAGCAGGTTGATATAGATATAGGGACACATGAAAAGATCAGTAGGACAGAACCACAAGTCCAAAAGCAGACTGAGTATATAAGAGAATTTAGTCTGTGATAACAATGTCATCTCAAATCATTGTGGGGGAAAAAGGATGGTGTATGAAACAAATTGTGTTGGGACAATTGGCCACCTAGTGGAAGAGCATTAAGTTATATGTCACACCACTCAGAAAAATAAAGTCCGAACCTAAAAGTTTAGTGTATTATAAAAATATTAGTAAAAAATATGGGAGAGTATGCTTATGCCTATGAGGTAGCAAAACCTCATAGTTTTGCCTTATTAAGATAAAAAAGCTAAATATTGAAAATTATAAGTGGAGATATATAGCTATTATAAAACTTAAGATACCATGATCAGAATTAAAAGACAGTATGTCCTTTGGAACTAAGGAAAATTATTTGCAGGATATGTGCCAAACAATGGATTAGTATCCAGAGTGTTTAACAGCCATAAAATATCAATAAGAAAAAGACAACCCAAATTTTAAAAATTGGTAAAGGATACAAATAGGCTATTTATGGAAGAGAAAATAGTGATGGCACATAAATACATGAAAAGGTGCCCAATCAGGATATCAATCAAGGAAGTGTAAGTAAAAGCAACAAGATGATATTTTCTCCTTATTAAAGTAGCAAAATTAATAAAGACCAATGCTATCTGGTATTGTTGAGGGTGTAGAAAAACAGGTTCTTTCTTCGACTTATGGTAGGAACATAAATTGTTATAGCCAGTTGAGAGACATTTTGATATTATTTATTAATGTAAAAATTGAAAATGCACATGTTGTGTGCTCCAGCAATTCTATCTTAAGACAAAACACATTTGCAGTATATACAGGAAGGCTTATATAGCTCAAGAACATCACAGCAATGTTGTTTGTGGAGTACGAACCTGTAAACAACCTAAATGTCCATCAATGGCTAAATAAACTAGTCATCCTAGTCATGTTTTCTAGTCATATTAGTAGTTACCCTGTGGCATTAAAAAAAGGAGAGAAATATTTGTATATAGTAATATGGATTACTATTAGTATTAATTTTCTTGGTCTACCATAATAAAATACCATAGATTGGATGGCTTACACAGCAGAAATTTATTTCTTACAGTTCTATTAATAGAAGTTGGGAAGTCCAAGATCAAGGTTCCATCCTGTTAGGTTTCTAGTGGAGGCTCTTTCCTTGGCTTGCAGGTGGTCTCCTTCTTGCTGTGTCCTCACATTGGAGATTTGGTGGGGAGAAAGCAAGTAAGCTTTTCCTTTTCTTACAAAGACACTAGTCACATCATGAGGGCTCTCATGACCTCATCTAACCCTGATTACCTCCCAAAGGCCCCATCTCCAAATATCATCACGTTGGGAGCTAGGGCTTCAACATTTGAATTTTTGGGTGGACAAAATTCAGTGTGTAGCAATAGATCTCTGCATTGTATAGTAAAAAAATCCAGTTGCTAATGATATGTTCAACTTATATTTTCTTTTTCTTTTTTTTTTTTTTGAGACAGAGTCTCACTTTGTTGCCCGGGCTAGAGTGAGTGCCATGGCGTCAGCCTAGCTCACAGCAACCTCAGACTCCTGGGCTCAAGCGATCCTTCTGCCTCAGCCTCCCAAGTAGCTGGGACTACAGGCATGCGCCACCATGCCTGGCTAATTTTTTTTTTCTGTATATTTTTAGCTGTCCATTTAATTTCTTTCTATTTTTGGTAGAGACGGGGTCTCGCTCTTGCTCAGGCTGGTCTTGAACTCCTGACCTTGAGCGATCTACCTGCCTCGGCCTCCCAGAGTGCTAGGATTACAGGTGTGAGCCACTGCACCTGGCCTATATTTTCTTAAAAAATCACAAATAATATGATTCATACCTGTTTCCTACCACCCCAGTTAGGAAATAAAACATCACCAAAAGATTTGAAGCTGCCTAGACTGAACCCTTTCTAATGGAATCCTTGTTCTTCAGTTTTCCCACATCCTCCAGCTGACCACATCTCTGCCCCACCCCTAGGTGACAGTTGTCCTGGGTTTAAACTTTCTCATTCCCATATATTCCTTCATACTATTACAACATAGACAATACTCTAGTTTTCTAAGGTTGGATAAATATGTGTGCATAGATGTACAAAAAAGATTTGTAAAGATTACCAAACTCACTGTGATTATATCAGGGGAGGAGAAAGGAGCGACCAAGATGAGGCAATTGTCAAAGGGGAATATACAATATTTTAATGTTGTATAAGGAGAAAACATGGGAGAAAGTCATGGCTACCTCTTCATTAAAATGACATATAGTAATGCAATACCTGTCTGGAACTAGCTGATTTTCTCACATACATAGTTCTTCAGCTTTCTTCTTTGTTTTCAAATTGTTTTGATATTGTGATTGATTGATTGACAGAGTCTCATTGTGTCACCCAAGCTGGAGTGAAGTGGCCCAGTCGTAGCTCACTGTTACCTTGAACTCCTGGGTTCAAGTGATTCTCCTACCTCAGGCTCTCAAGTAATTGGAACTACAAGCACACGCCACCATGCCTAGCCAATTTTTAAATTTTTTGTAGAGATGGGGTCTCGTTATGTTGCCCAAGCTGGTCGTGAACTCTTGGCCTCAAGTGATCCTCCTGGCTTGGCCTCCCAAAGTGCTGGGATTACAGGCATGAGCCACTGAGCCCAGTCATATAAATTTTAGAATTAGCTTGTCCATTTCCATAAATAGCCCTCCGGAGTTTTGATTAGAATTCTAATATGCCCATTTATTAAGGTTCTTTAACCTCTCTGAAGAGTGTTTTATAGTTTCCAGTGTATAGATCTTGCACCATATTGGGATCATATTTATACCTAGGTATAATATTTCATTCTTTTTGATGCTGTGGTAAATGGTATATTTAAAAATGTTAATTTCCAATTTTTCATTGTCAGTATATAGAAATGTGATTGATTTTATTATATTGATATTCTATACTGGGAATTTGGTAAAATTGTTGGTTCTAGTATAAGTATTTAAAAATTTTTATTATATTC